ACTGTTACACCATTCAGACTGATGTACTAGCCATATGACACCTTGTGGGGATTGAACCCAGGAGTGATGAACAAACACTTGAACCACTCTGCTACCCCAAGACTTCCATTACTGTTACACCATTCAGACTGATGTACTAGCCATATGACACCTTGTGGGGTTTGAACCCAGGAGTGATGAACAAACACTTGAACCACTCTGCTACCCCAAGACTTCCATTACTGTTACACCATTCAGACTGATGTACTAGCCATATGACACCTTGTGGGGTTTGAACCCAGGAGTGATGAACAAACACTTGAACCACTCTGCTACCCCACCTCCTGCCTCTATGAGCAAACAGTGAACGATGCAACAGCTGAAACCAAATTCGCCATCACCTTAATTCTCTAACTATGTATTGATATACGAGCCGACTTCTTCTAGAATCAATGCTCCTTCGCCACAGATTCAGGAAAACATTCTTTATACTATATGCATGAAAAAACCCAGATCAATATTCATTATTTATGGGCTGATGCACTCATTTTCTGCAAGTTACGAGAACATGGTGTTTGATGAATATCATATTGTACAGGATTGCCAAAGTGAAACTGTTACATGAAAAACATATCCTATGAGTGCAAATAGTTCTTACTTCAGTCACAAGCCAGATCTCAAGATAGATTTTTTAACTAGGAGCATGGCTTTTTGCAGAGTTATCTGAAGTTTGTGTCAATCAGTTTGGAAATAAAGAGTAATTTAATTTGAAGAAGAGTAATGCAAACAATATTAAGATACAGGTTTTTGCTCTGACGATTTGTTAGACATTCAATCATGAAAATTATGGTCTCATTGAACTCATTGTGACAATACTGACTGACTGACTGAGTTTAGTTTTACGCCACTTTTAGCAATATTCCAGCAATATCATGGCGGGGGACACCAGAAATGGGCTTAACACATTGTGACAATAAATTTCTTAGGATCTGTTAGAACTGGTCTTCATTAACCTCTGGTTGTAAGAGGCGAAACAGAATCTAGTAGTCAAGCGTGTTCACTCGTTTGACGGATCTCATCACATCCCAATAATGACAGGGATAGAAATACTTTTTTTTCTAAGTGTGCCTTAGGGCACCAGGCAAATATTTTAAATGTGCCTTTCAGAAATCAAGTGTGCCCACATGTTTTTTAGAATAAATGACGGTAGCAAGGATGATGATCTTTTGAACCTGTTTTCTGTTATCACTGATATGTCTTCTGTTTAAGATGGCTTTCTTGAGCTTCATTTGTACTGCTTTCCCAGCACCTTTAATAGCTAAGAATTCTGTGACAGGTTATCAATATGTAAGTTCAATATATCTAACATACACAATTTCCTCTTCAATAACCAAACAATAAGTCTTCCCAAACTACCAGTCATTTGGTTAAGTGTTTTATTTTGGGGATTAAATGACTAAAGGTGAGTTATGTCTCTAAAAAATTAGGCATGCCTTAAGGGCACTGAGAAAATTATTTATCCGTGCCATTTCAATATTTACCATGCCATGGCACCCTAATATATGGAGTATTTCGAACCCTGAATGAAGATCAATGCTATGGTGTCAATAACTGGATTGTCTGGTCCCGACTCGACTATTTATTCATATTACTGAAATACAGTTGAGCGTTGCTTCAAACAAAAATGTCTTCGAAAACAATGTAGTGTTTTGATTCTGGAAGCAATTTTGGAATAAATGAAATTATTTACATATCTGCCCCCACAAAGATTGATCAAGACATAAGTGCGATATATCACAAAAATCAATCAGAGACCTCATATCACAGAGTAATGGATCAGCACTCTCTCACGTCATGTAACCAACACATCAGAAACTTGCTCTCACAATCAGAAACATTTTATTCATGTAAAAATGTGTGAAAAAAATGACAAAATAATACTTTGGGGGAAGACAAGTTCAATAGAGTTATTATAGGCTGGAAATAGTAACTATCTGTTAAAAGGATGATGGCTGACATTTCTGCTTTTGATCTTAAAACAGTCGATATTTTGCTTGAAGCAGGAAGCCGAGTCACTATCTAGCAGACTCTCCCACACACATTGTACATACAACACTGGATATCTATTGGGGTCTTGGAGGATTGTTCCTGTGATGCAGATAAAACAATACGGCTAGGTCAAGATACGAGATACTAATCACGATACATGGCTAATGATACAAAGCGCAATATGCATGTTTAGGTCAAATGAGAAGCTAATTTCTCAAAAATATATTTCAGAGCAGGGTCAAAAGTAAAAGCTAGCAGATGTGTCATTATTTTTAGTAGTATCTTGAAATGCTTCTAGCAACAAATTTTTGCAACATTTGACAAACAAAATCAGCATGGGGTAATGAACAAAATGTAATTCTCCTTTGCAAGTGTATTGTCTTGTATTGATAAAAACATAAATGTATCATATTGTCGATGTGAACTCACAATGCATAGGTACAGCAAAGTATCATGTCACCCCTGTTCTGTAATATTCAAACCTAGAGACCCCTCAAATCTTTAATCTCCACCAACCCTCATTTTAAAAATAGATTGGGTATACATCTGTGAACAAAAACCACGAGGCATTATTATCCAATGTTCTCTCCATTAATTGTGTTGTGAGATATGGCGTGTGGTCCTGTGCATAGAGCTCAGTTCACAAATCAGGTGAAGTTAACCCATTCAACACCGCAGGCCGCTTAAGCGGCCACAACGTTATGAGTCCCCAGACACCGGAGGCCACTTAAGCGGCCAGGCAGTAGTCACGTCAATCAGACATAATTTTAGGAACCTACCTGACTTATGATTCATATATTAAATCTATCACATTTCACAATGTCTGAAAACACTTATTAAATTTCAATTTATCATATATTTTCAGCAGAATTAAAATTATAAACTATTTTTCGCAATGTTATTGAAAACAACGATTCTCGGACACATGCTTCGGCAGCGGGTCCACAATAACGTTGTCAAAGAGCAAAGTAACGATGTTTCGAGGAATTCAGTAAATAAATTGAATAAACTAATGAATAAAATCAACAATAGCATTCATAAAAGTTGTCAAACGTACATATAAAATTACTATTTCCATCTTTTTGTGCGATCATGTCAAGTCACTGACAACTGACATCTCGGCTCTCGCCGCCTCAATCTTCACGCTCGGACACGATGTTTAATGCGAAAATATGTACATGAAGCATTTTTGTCACAGGTCATAACCTAGCACGATACGTCCAATAAGTTCCATAATTTATGTATAGGTAGCAATTTCTTGCTTAATATGTTCAAAATAGCGTTATTTTACCCAAAACTTTCGTCTAAATCTAAAAGTTTTCGTTTACTAGGACGGTATCCATTGCCGTAATATGATTGGCTGCCACATGTCACGTGTCTGATTTTGACCAATCACGACCCTTATAGCAGACTGTAGCGGAAAAGCGTCATTAGAAACCAATTTTTATCCAATAAAATCGCTTCTTACAACTGTGAAAATACTCTCGGCAAGGGTTCAGTGATGTTGTTGATGTTCAGAGCTTTCGAACGATACCCGACATCAAACGATTCGCCTCCCATGTTTTTCATAGAAGCTTCAAACGGAGGTATTTTCAGTTGTTATGTCATGTTACCGAGCGGAAAGCCACAGATATCGGGAAATAGGCGACCATACATATTATTTAAGAAATCTTTTTATAATAATTTTCTGATTACGTAAAAATTAAAATATAAAAGAAAAAGGCACGGACATGTTATGACATGTCACAAATGGAAAATAATCGCCATAGTTTTTGCTTCTTTCGTGGTTTATCTGGAGGTTATAAATGTAAGCTTGCATTTTCATTCAAAAATAATTTTATTTAAGTTGTAGTTGTATTATTTGAATAATATTATAAAAATAAACGTCATATTTATCAACAGTAGGATTAGATCTTTTAAATGGTGTATGGGATGTAGTAGCAATAACGTTTTACAAGCTTATAATTTCCTTCATAAACATAGGCTTCATCTGTGACCTCAGAGTCTCTGGGAACTCGGTGTCATGGCACTAAATGCCTCTGGTTGACTGGTGTTGAAAGAGTTAAGCAACGATGCGCGTGGAGAGTCCTTGGATGGGTGACCGTGTTTGGCAGCTTGACTCCTGAGAGTTTCTAGGACTTCAGTCCTGCTCCATAACGAAGCATATGGGTACCCGGTGGGATAAGTCATGTGACTATAACCTTCTCACACCTAACAGGCAGCTTGGGTTATCCGGGGTAATAATGTGCTGTGCTTTGAGCATACCTGGTGTGGAGTTTGGTGCTATATAAATGGACACATTACTATTATATGTTGAAAGATTAAACTGCTGGCATGAGCAGAAGGGGAATTGTACTGTGACATATCAAGGCTAACATTGCTGTGGTCTTCCAGCCTTGGAGCGTAACTTCGGTAACAAGAGACCCTTTCATGAAGACTTTCAAACACAGTATAAACACAGTAACTAATCAATTGGGCAAAAGATCACATCCCAGCTGTGTCTGATCAGGAGCTTATCAGCCATAGACATCATCTTAAGATCGCTACAATTCAATGACCGAGATTCATCCAGACCGGGATTCATCCATACCAGCTCAGAGGCTGATATTCAGCCCCCAAATCAGCACCAAATGAAACAAAAGTCCCAGTTTAAACTAAAAAATGTCCAATTACTCAGAATTGAAGAAAAACAAAGAACATTAAAACACTTTAAAAGTTTAACAACATATAAGTTTCTACAATACCAACATTCTCAAATTTGTCTGCATAAGACGATAAAATTTCTCGATAAACATCTGATGCTGATGAGCAAAGTGGCTCTGTGTCAATCCATCATGACATCTCCGTGTGTCTACAATGGATGACACAGGGTCTGCCCCTGTCCTCACCTCCTTGTATAATACAACATAATGAATTATTCATGTAATTACTGTGTAATTACAGTCTAATTAAGAATCAAGTGAAGAACTTACTTGTACCAGCACACCCCAGCCATTATGATGCCTATCAAGCCCGCAACACTGCACGCAGCTACAATCACTGAAACCACAAAATGGCTGATCAAAACACAGAATATCGCAAAGGTTTCACTTCACAAAGTAACTAGTTCACATAGTGTACAGTTGCTGACAAAGTCTTGCTTTGTTCCCAATGTTCAACATAACGCTTACCTCCCCTGACTGAATATGGAGCCTATAAATAGCTACTGGTGCTGACAAAGGTGATACATGGTTATACAATGGGTAGACATCTGGGAGATATGGTTCATATCAACTGCTTATATAATACATGCAAACTGATCCTTACATAAGCTTTGTAAACAGGCACTTCACACTAAATGCATGTCCTTTCACTGACTCGATAATAACAAATTGTTACAGTTAGCCTTGAAGAACTGTTATGCAGCCATCATGTTTGCAAGTTTTAGAGCAACGATTCCATAACTTCAGACGCATGGATAGAACAAAATAAGTGGACTTATACAATGAAAAAGTTCTTGTTTTACATGTTTGCAGCCTATGAAATTTGATATTTTAGACCATTCCGAGGACTTGTAAAGACCTTATTTTGCTTGCCGTCAGAGTTTTGCTTCAACATATTTTCTATCAGTCATTTTCAGTTCCGTTGAGCAGCGAAGTTAAATCCTTGAGAAATGACCAGAGTGAATGAGTAAGTTGGGCTTTACGCCGCAATATTCCAGCAATATCATGGCGGGGACACCAGAAATAGAATGGAACCTGTGCCTTTGGCATGATGAGCGAACACTTTAACCACTAGGACTCTTACTTAAAATGTTGTTCAGTAAAAGTCTCACATAAAACAAAACAAGAAAAACTAAATCCACTATAAAAAAACCCTTGTTTAACCTCTATGCCAGCTCAGAGAATGCTTGTTTAAGACTATACTGTTGTATTCTTCTTTAAGCAGCCAGTTCAATAAAGATGGTTTGTTTCAGAGAGTGAGAGATTGGTTTCATGAGAAAAAACAAACCTTATATCCTGTTAACAAGCAATTCAACATAAAACAGGTATATTTCTGAGATTTGGATTATATTATTGCTCGACATGTGCAAAAAAACCCAAATGATATCTCCCTTTAAATATCAGATCAACATAAAACAGGTTTATATCTACTAGGGATGCCATGACACATCGATACATCAATATTTTTTCTCAGACGATACACTCATTGATACATTGCAAACTGTATCGATATTTAGTTTTGAAAGTATCAATTAAATATGTTTATGTATCGTTTACATTTTGCAATTGTATCATGTTTTATGATGCTATGTAAGTCATAAATGATTATTTTTCACGCACAAAGATGGGAAATTAGAAGATCTCTGAGAATCAATAATGTTGATCTTTTCATGGACAGTTATAAAATATGAAATATTAATGTTCAAAATGTAACTAAATTTACACAATAATGCCACGAAAATAGGTATCGTGATACGTATCGAATCGTGACATGGGTATCATGATACGTATCGATTCATGAAACTTATGTATCGTGACATCCCCACATTATACACAACTGAATTACTTCAGCAGTCAACTCACCTAAAAATAGAACATCAGTTCCAGCAAACATGGATGGATGAGGACTGATATTTTTGTGCTTTGATCCAACGACAGGCTGCGGGGTGCCGTGTGGAGCGTGCGTTGTGCCATTTGTGGCTGGCGTTTCCGGGGCTTTGGGATCTGTGCCTGCAGCCGTAGGCGGCTTCACATCTTTTGCCTGACTAGGGACGTCAGCCTTTATATGTTCATTTGCATTTCCTGGATGGAACCAAAGAAACAGTGTTACAGACAATAACTGACATGAGGGTTGTTCTAAAGAAGCAGTGTTTGATGGACAATAGATGGATATTCATTGACATTAGTGAGGTATCACAGTAACACTGTGGTAAAACAGACCATAGACATGCCATTACTGTTGACCCACCGCCCTGTGCCATTACGGTTGTTCTATAGTTTTGTTGTTTGCCAAGGGAAGCAACCCAACACAGAAAACATATGGTTCAATACAAATGAGGTTTGTAGTGCTGGGTCTTGATCCACAAACCATTCGTAGCGCTATGATATTCGTAAGTCTAAGACAAACTATACAGTTACAACAGGTCATAATGTTAAGAACGCTTTGTGGATTTGGATGCTGGTTATTATTCACAATATGCAGATCGATAACCGGAGCTCAGTAAGTGAACATTAATCGATTGTAATTGTAAACCCTGCCACAAAACTCATGTAGGCAATAACAAAACACAATCATAACATTGTGCAACAGAAAACAAGCACCAACTAATACCATGATCGAGACGATCAATGATACTTCCCGTTGAGACACCCACGCGGGTACGTTGTTCACATTAAAGTTTTACGAGTCAGGAAACTGCATCAGTTGTTTACGTCTTGATATAACAAACATTACAATAAGAAACATTCTTTCTAAAGCTTAATTTGATGTCTTGTTTTATTATGAATATCAATTAATCTCCCGAACTCATTGATAATCTGATGCAAGCGAGATTGATCGAGCACTGGTGGTTTGTGACATTTCATGATTCCTGTAAAAGTTTATTGTACTTTGCAATCTCATTTAAACATTTATCTTTACTAAAATGAAGCTATATAGAAAATTTATTAACTTACCTAAATTTCTCTCCTGTGCGTTGTTGATAACATCTTCGAATTGAACTGTAAAATAAAAATGACACATGCAGATAAAACAAAATAGGAAATGTTTCAATAATAAATCATATTCATATATTAAAATCTAAGAGTCTTGGAGAGTATCCCAGTGAGTGATTTGGGTTTTATGCCGCTTCTGGAAATATTCCAGCAATATCACAGCAGGGGACACCAGAAATGGGCTTCACATATTGTACCCATGTGGGGAATTGACATAGAGTAACCAAAGTATTTTGGAGTAAAAGTAGAAAAATTATAAGATAAAATAGCTTTCAAATCATGGCTGTAAGATACTTTATTTTTGCTTTGACTTGTTATAATCTAGCATTATCAAGTGAACCACTGAAAAACAATGGTTGATATTGTGAGCAATAAACAGGGGAGTGAGTGAGTGAGTGAGTTTAGTTTTATGCCCCACTCAGCAATATTCCACCTATATGGCGGCAGTCTGTAAATAATCGAGTCTGAACCAAACAATCCAGTGATCAACAGCATGAGCGTCGATCTGCGCAATTGGGAACCGATGACATGTGTCAACCAAGTCAGCGAGCCTGACCACCTGATCCAGTTAGTGGCCTCTTACGACAAGCATGGGTTACTGAAGATCAATATTGTAACCCGGATCACAGGGAAAAACAAACAAGGGAAGTATGATGGGATGCAGTTAGCAATGTCGTCTCTCTCTTTCTCTCTCAGACACAGACACAGACACAGTCTCTCTCTCTCTCTCTCTCTCTCTCTCTCTCTCTCTCTCTCTCTCTCTCTCTCTCTCTCTCTCTCTCTCCTCTCTCTTTTTACATACACATGCCCAAACACACACCACCTTTAAAACAGCCTTTGATAAGACTAAAACATAATAAAAGGTGACTGCTTAACTCAAACCCCGCAATAGCAATATATGTATCGTGGCATTACAAGAACACATGCTGGTATTCATCTCCACTAAAGCCCATTTCCAGATAGCCATTAACAACCCCTGCTGAATAGCTTCCTTGCTGGAGATGAAGTCGGGCAGCACGGCTTCAACAACATTATTATACATCTACAGTCTCAGAAGTTGATTAGAGTGGTCAATAATCGATACTGGACCCAACTTTATGACTGTGGCTGTGATAATGTGTCAATCACAACATCGCCATTGTTTCAGTTTAAGAAGCCTGACAGAAGTCGGGCCAAGGTGGCTAGCTCCAGTGGGTAACTAACATCTGGGAAGAAGGCACCCTTGACAGAAGTCGGCTCAAGGTGGCTAGCCTCCAGTGGGTAACTAACATTTGGGAAGAGTTAAGCACCCTTGACAGAAGTCTGCTCAAGGTGGCTAGCTCCAGTGGGAAACTAACATCTGGAAAGAAGGCACCCTTGACAGAAGTCGGCTCAAGGTGGCTAGCTCCAGTGGGTAACTAACATCTGGGAAGATTTAGGCACCCTTGACAGAAGTCGGCTCAAGGTGGCTAGCTCCAGTGGGTAACTAACATCTGGGAAGATTTAGGCACCCTTGACAGAAGTCGGCTCAAGGTGGCTAGCTCCAGTGGGTAACTAACATCTGGGAAGATTTAGGCACCCTTGACAGAAGTCGACTCTAGGTGGCTAGCTCCAGTGGGTAACTAACATCTGGGAAGAGTTAGGCACCCTTGACAGAAGTCAGCTCAAGGTGGCTAGCTGCAGTGGGTAACTAACATATAGGAAGAGTTAGGCATCCTTGACAGAAGTCAGTTCAAGGTGGCTAGCTCCAGTGGATAACTAACATCTGGGAAGAAGGCACCCTTGACAGAAGTTAGCTCAAGGTGGCTAGCTGCAGTGGGTAACTAACATCTGGGAAGATTTAGGCACCCTTGACAGAAGTCAGCTCAAGGTGGCTAGCTCCAGTGGGTAACTAACATCTGGGAAGATTTAGGCACCCTTGACAGAAGTCAGCTCAAGGTGGCTAGCTCCAGTGGATAACTAACATCTGGGAAGATTTAGGCACCCTTGACAGAAGTCAGCTCAAGGTGGCTAGCTCCAGTGGGTAACTAACATCTGGGAAGATTTAGGCACCCTTGACAGAAGTCGGCTCAAGGTGGCTAGCTCCAGTGGGTAACTAACATCTGGGAAGATTTAGGCACCCTTGACAGAAGTCAGCTCAAGGTGGCTAGCTCCAGTGGATAACTAACATCTGGGAAGATTTAGGCACCCTTGACAGAAGTCAGCTCAAGGTGGCTAGCTCCAGTGGGTAACTAACATCTGGGAAGATTTAGGCACCCTTGACAGAAGTCAGCTCAAGGTGGCTAGCTGCAGTGGGTAACTAACATCTGGGAAGATTTAGGCACCCTTGACAGAAGTCAGCTCAAGGTGGCTAGCTCCAGTGGATAACTAACATCTGGGAAGAAGGCACCCTTGACAGAAGTCAGCTCAAGGTGGCTAGCTCCAGTGGGTAACTAACATCTGGGAAGATTTAGGCACCCTTGACAGAAGTCAGCTCAAGGTGGCTAGCTCCAGTGGGTAACTAACATCTGGGAAGATTTAGGCACCCTTGACAGAAGTCAGCTCAAGGTGGCTAGCTCCAGTGGGTAACTAACATCTGGGAAGAAGGCACCCTTGACAGAAGTCAGCTCAAGGTGGCTAGCTCCAGTGGGTAACTAACATCTGGGAAGATTTAGGCACCCTTGACAGAAGTCAGCTCAAGGTGGCTAGCTCCAGTGGGTAACTAACATCTGGGAAGATTTAGGCACCCTTGACAGAAGTCAGCTCTAGGTGGCTAGCTCCAGTGGATAACTAACATCTGGGAAGAAGGCACCCTTGACAGAAGTCAGCTCTAGGTGGCTAGCTCCAGTGGATAACTAACATCTGGGAAGAAGATACCCTTGCTGATCATGTCTTGCCTGAACAAGTCCTGCCAGAACATCTAATTCTTGAACATGTTATATCAGGCCATTGTATACTAAAGTGAGTGAGTTTAGTTTTTCGTTGCTTTAAGCAATATTCCAGCAACATTACGGCAGAGGACCCCAGAAATGGGTTTCACATTATACCCATGAGGGGAATCGAACACGGGGCTACAGCGTGACGAGCAAAAATTCTGGAACATGTCATGTGAGAACATGCTGGAACATGCCAAAGTTGAAAATGTCAAGGTGGGACATGTTTTGCTTCAATATGTCATGATAGAACATGCAATGTTGGAACACAGTACTGTGATATACCTCTATTGTGATACGTATTGCAATATATTGGGCGCATGTGTTGCAGTGATTGCACTAATAGTGCATGCAGATCCTGTTTTCTGCGTCAGTTGGACATACTAATGGAAACATCACAAGCAAGGTCAGACACGGCCATTTTGTAGCCATGAATACAACAGTGTGAGAGAAAAAATCAATTCCGTGTCTCATCAATCAACTTCACCTGTGAATGAAATTCTTTGTAGATTTTCTGTTAAACGATACAGAATTCATATGTATTTAACCAATATACCGGAACAGAAAACAGATGTTGCAAAGCATATCGTTGGAAAAGCGTTACGCAGTATACCTTAGACGAGAAACACCACACACAGTCCTACAGTAACATAAACCAGTCCCACATCATAGGCTTATGTTCCTCTGCATTAAGAACATCAGTAAAATAAAAAAATTTAAAACACAACTTTTTAACTTCAATACTTATCAAACAATTGCTAATAAACTGCCAACATGACAGCATATATTCCATTACAAGGAGTGAGTGATTGAGTTTAGTTTTACGCCGCATTTTCCAGCTATATGGCGGCGGTCTGTAAATAATCGAGCCTGGAACAGACAATCCAGTGATCAACAGCATGAGCATCAATTGACATTTTTCAGCAAAGTCATCAAGTCTGACCTACCGATCCTCTTATGACAAGCATGGGTTACTGAAGATCAATTCTAACCTGGCGCTTCACGGGTCCCCATTATAAGGAAATGATAATGGACCTTGTAGCTTCGTATCTCTTCGGTCTGCATATAAGGCATTTCTCATCAGTTCTATTCCAGCTGTTCTGTTTATACTAGTCTAAACCTCAAACTATCAAACATGTTCCAATCTGTGCCCAAATGTCTTGGGTCGACTAGCCCACACGTCACACTAAAACATAATTTTTCTTGTTTCCGTGTTACGATATGCTTTTTATATATTATTCACCGACCTCATTATACCAAACTAAATTTCACCAGACATGGTCTTCCGACAGGTGGTGAGAGTCACAAATTGATGTTTGGTAATTCCCGTATGTAATTCATATCAGGCAGAACTATTGATTCTCTCATGGCTTATTAACCTCCATGTTGAACAGTAGGGCAGCCCAGCCATTAACTGGCCACAGAAACCTTGGAGGAATTACGCCCCGAATGGTTGCTTCCATTAGAGTCTACACTGTTTACAACACCATTAGATCACTCCTCCTTAAAAGCTTATAAGCCACTCTGATGTCCGTCTAGCTAATGATCTGCTGCTGGAGATGGTCAAGGTGACCGGTAGGTTCTGGGAGCACATAGTTCCCAGAGCGCCACATTGAACGTCTTGACAGCAGACCTGAAGATGGATGGTCAAAACAGCTCATGACAATCGGTACTTGTCATGGATGGATGGGTGGATGGATGGATGGGTCAATGGATGGGTGGATGTGTGTGTGTGTGTATTGGATGGATGGATGGATGGATGGATGAAGGGATGGATGGATAGATGGGTGGATGTGTGTGCATGTGTATTGGATGGATGGATGGATGGAGACTGTTTCCCAAACCCCAGAGAATAAATCTTAAAAATTGTGCAAACTCCAGTCTTGTATGAATATGCAGGTGTAGACTGCTTAAGCATTGATTGTTCAGGCTCCATAATTATTTCCTAAGATCTATATTTTCACATAAGACAACTTTATTTCTGAGCAAAATAAAATTCCTCAGATTTTTTAATACAAATATACATGTATTTGATGCAAAACTTGACACTTGGTCTCGTCCTTGGTAATCTATAACAGTATATAATTAATAAGTCACGTCCATAGACAATAACAG